CGTCGCTTTCAGTAGAATTCTAAACTTTTTCCATTCCACCGCTTCGCGGTAATACGCTTTACCGCGCGAGCGTTGTCAACCGCCGGACGGTATAATACTAATGACAGGAGAAAAGAATAAATAAATAAACGATACAGAGAAAAAACCACCGTCAAAATATTATTAAATTGGATTTCGTCCGTCAGGAACGCCATACACATACACATACACACACACACACACGTGTTATATATATAATATATAAAGTTAGGAGTGTGTGTATGTGTGTGCACAAAGTATTATAAAGGTAGGTACGCGCGCGGTATAGTCTCTTTCCCTGGGTGGAAAGGTTAATTTGACATGCGTTACCCGCGCACCATCCTCCCGACAAAAGCACTAAACAAAAAAGTAGTCGTAAAACGTTTTCGCAAAATTTCTGAAAAGACGTATTACAAAAATAACCGACCCACCACTGCTTACCCTCACACACATATACACAAACATATAGCAATAAAAATACTGGGCGGATTTGTAGAACACAAACACTCATTATATCCATTTTTTATGTTTTTAATTTATTTTTTTGACAAATACCTACCGTTTTTATTTCAATGTGATATTTCAAACTGAATATAAATATCAAAATTAAGAAGGCACACGTTTTAGATTTATAAGTATTTAATAGTTGATTGAGAGGTGTACAGTTGTCATTTTATTTCTAGGAGTATTAGTACTGTGTTATTATAAGTGTATATTGTACATTTGTACTCCACGAAATTTTTCAATAACTAAACTAAAAACTGAAATGCTATTATAAATAATAAAATTAATACCTGTTCGAATTACGATATTTCACAATAATACTATATATACTGACAATTTTTTGTAAAGGTATTCAATTTAAGTTTGAGAAACTCAATATGTTGTCGTAAAAAAAAATAATAACACTTAAATAAATATAAAAAAATTGATTTATTTTGAAAAGCACAACAATTGATCGCTCGTTAATGACGAGTATTCGCTGTTAACAACGTGTATACACTGTGCACTTTGTATAAACATCAATCCATTTCACAGTAAGTTTAAGAGAGAGGTGTTATAACTTAAATAAATATTCTGCACACTTCACAAAACTTTACGATAACAACCACGTCGGCGAGTAAATGTTTCCTGCAAACAATTTTTTTCTACAGAACTACGCTATGTACTTTACACTTTACAGTATATAATATAGTAATAGTATAATAGGGCACTACTCAACAATGGATGACGCTACAACTGTGGCTACTTCATATGGCCGTCAAACTTATAATATATTTGCGGTTGTTGAGATATATAGTTAAATAGTTTTGTAATTCTTCAAACCTATATTTGTTGCATTGACGTGCAAAAACCAAAATTACTTTGCTAGGATTTGCAAAGTTTTACACCATTACACAGGCCACAGCTACAGATGTGTTTATGTGTACCAACTGCACGCAAATTCTACGTGATTGTTATTGCATTCAAAACTTATATGCAAATATCATACAATAGATGGGTACTTGAATAACACGTGCATTAACCAAACTGCTGCATTTTAGATTTTGTACAATGATAGTATTTTGAAAAATAAATCGTCGTGTAAAAAAGTAGAAAAAAATCAAACGCCACAGCTAACTACGAATATAAAGGGGAGCTCATATATTATTATATTGTTCCAAAACTATCAATAATATTCGTTAACATATCTCTGCGTAAATACACCACGACAGTCATGACTTAAATTCTTATTTTTTTTTCTTCTCCACAAGACGTCTTACAAGAGAAATACACCAATGTGCATACAACATTTAAAAGCAATCTTTTAACGAGAAACCCAGCTGAGAAGACATCGTTAGCAAAGCCATCGTCATTGCCTACTTCCTCCTCCTATTCATCGTTCTTCACGGACAAAATGTTTATACAACCATGTGTACAAATCGATAATATCTAGAAATGAGCTTTATTTGGAATCATCCTTTTTCGTTATTTACCTCCATTGATATATATATATATATTATACCTATACTTCGTGAAAAAACGACGGGGACAAAAATATTTTGTAACTCATCAAAAAATTAATGAAATTGAACTTTGACCGGCGAAAGTTTATAGCGATTTATTTTTTTTTTAATATTTTCGCGTGGAATTCATTAACAGGTATTATAGTATATGTAAAACATAAGAATGTAGATACTTAGCCAACTCGCATGGTTATACTAACACCAAAAACTGTAAATAATAATATGATGTGTGAAGTTATGTGAAAAGTTAATATTAATATTATTACACAATAATTGAACGTATGCGCAACTATATTAATTACATCGCAGCACTTTTATACACTATGGGGTTTCTTAGCTTGAACTTGAGGAGTGTTTTAAAATTATTATTCCGGTAAGTACCGCGGAAATTGGTTTCCTCTAAAGTTTCGTAAGAACACCAACACAATAGATCCAAGACACGTATGGCTGCCCGTCATGGGAAATATAATTGTAATTATTTCACCACAATAATGCATTTATATATACTCATAGGTATACATAAACATATAATAAATATCTACGTAAGCATGTATATACTCTACAAAAGGCCACGTGCCTGAGTAAATGATCAAATAAGTCGTAGAAAATGTATAGCTTATGGTTAATTGATTGATCCGACAAATTTTCAAATACATAGCGATAATTTTTTAATTAATTGTATTTGTTATTATTTTATTTTTCACTGATAGATAAACAAACTGAGTCAAATTATAATGTCAATCGGAGTGTAAAATCTCGTAAAATAATATTTATAGCTGTACATCCGACACTACAAAAAATATATTATATAAATGTATATACTTATATATAGCGATATAGATTTTATTAAGCATAAAAACACACACACACACATCACAAAATACTATGAAGTTCACATGATTACACCGTAAGATCCTATAGACAACAGATGCAACAAATATTGTGCCGAATAATATATATATATATACATGCGCATGGAATACATGTTGCATAAACGAAAGGCGCCTCGAGACATTTCTTGACAATTTTTTCTTTCAACATTTTTTTTTCTTTTTTCTTTATTTTTGTTCCCACTGACTGCAAACAAGCGGCACCCGAGTATAAACATGCAACGCGCATATATACACGTATTATAGATATATGCGCACTCGAGGGAAAACTATACGTTTTTCCTCGATACGTCAGACGTCGAGAGCACGCCGCCAAGGAGGATTTACAGCCTAGAAAGTTATATTATTCCGGTCGACTGGGCCAGTCCCGCCTAGCCGTGGAAAATAAAGACTGTCGAAACAAGGGTTTTTGTATTTTTATTTTTTTATTTTTCCGTTTCTTTTATTATTTGCCTCCTGCACTTTCAGTACAATACTTCTATTTACTCATGCATCGTGCGCGTATATATATACGTATGTTCTTTGTGATCCATCAGGGTCGAAATAAAAAAAAAAAAAAAACATAAAACAAAAAAAAAATTCTCGAACGAACGAATGTTGGAGAATAAACGTTTGGACGAACGGCGGTGGTGTGGCGTCGTCGGCGGTAACCTATGTGCCTACCTATAATGTATAGGCAAAATAGAAGGGCGTGAAATATCGTGATTTCCAACAATCTCACATTTATCTTGTCACCCTTTTACCCCCGCCCCCCCAAATCCGGGCGCGCGACGCATACGCTATTTATTTATATATATAATATGTATACATGTATATTTACGACCAATTTGCTACAACAGTACCTACCTACTGGGTATACAACACTATATCGGGCAAAAATTCACAAGCGAACGCACGAAAAAATGTAATTATTATTATTATTATTGTTATTATTCGCATCGAAGCTTTGGCGGCGAGTGGATATGCCGTGACACTATAGCAGTCGGTACCCGCCACCCGTACACGCCCAACTCACAAACGCCTATACACACGCCACCGCATATACACTAGGGTGTGATCAATTTAAAAGGGTACAACTACACACACCACGCTGTAAATGTCAATACCGTGAGAAATGCGCGTGTAGGTCGTTAATCTTTCATTAAATTTCGGTATATGCACGGCAAGCACGTATTATACGAGACGACTATACATACCCCTGGTGCAGCAGCTACTGTAGAAAGAGGAAATTGAATTGAGCAAAAATACAAGAGAAAACGTGTCCGAAAACTCTCGCACGTTATTATTGTAGTACACGTATAATGTAAAAACAACACACAACTGGAGAATTCTGAATTTATAAAGCGTCATATAGATAAATATGACCAATATGTCTCACTTTTAGCTAATTATAAATGTTTTAGTATCTACATGGCTGTATTTTATATTTGAAGTGGAAATGTTTTTAATAAACGTCCAAATAAGTCTATCGTTACAAAAAAAAATGTTACTTCATTAACGAAAAAATATCACAAAAGCATAAATTAAATTGCATTATTTAATAAACAACTTATTAGATGACACTACTAATTATATATTTATAAATAATTATTCTTTTTTTTTTTTTTTTTTGTAAATAAAAATAAAGAGACCCATAATTACCGTAACAAAATTTCCTCGCAAATCATATTTAATAAATTAAAACCAATTACGACGTTTGAAAACTTCTAAACTCTTAATAAGCACAACGACAAAAATTACACTTTACCAATGACGAGTTTGTAACTCTTTAGAAAGTTGTGACGCATATCTTAAATAATCTGTAAGAACCCAGCGGTTTAATGCTCTTATATAAACACTATGACTGCCTCTAAAGTTGGACAAAGTCATACAACCGAAAACCTCTTTTTAAAAGCTTGTTAAAAGATTAAAAATTATTGTAAAATAATATAATTTGCAACACTACCGTCTTGTGTTAACATCATATATATATATATGATAAATATAGTATGTAGCAATGCGGAATAGTAAAAATAATTACTATACTTAATAGTATATACAATAATACTGATAATAATCGTATAACGCATGATAACAATGTTCTTACCTGATTTTTGCCTTTGAGTACAAGCACGTTGGTAACTTTTCCGAACGGAATGCCCAGATGTATGACCTCGGCTTCAGTGACCTCATTGGGTATGTTGCGTATGTGTATTACCCGGGATGGCTTGTTGTTGGCGGTTTTATCGAGTTTGACCTGAAATTTTTTTTTCATATTAATAAAACACATTGGTTTGCAAAATGAGCAGTCAGACAGACTCTCGTTCACGAGCCTCACGCCAGCCGCACGCATTGGCTATGGCTATCTCACGGACCGCAGACAAACGACCGGGAGAATTCAATTTGCGGTCATAGGGCGCGGTGACTGTCTGACGGGACCGGAAAGGATGGAAATGAGATGGGGCCGGTTGTCGAGCTATTATTTACCGCATTTCTCTAGGATAGAATAAAGTGAATAAAAATCTATAGCGAAGCACGTAAGCCGAGTAATTTCGGGCAGTAACCGGACGCAGAAACGATCCACAAAACTGTTTCACAACTCGGATTCGAATCGCTCTATAAATAGAAACATGGTATAGCTCTCTCACGTCTACGGGTTTAATAATTCCATTTAAAAAGTCGAAATCTAATTTCAAAAATGACTAACAAGTTTTGGACATTTTATACTAAATACAGTAACCTCTGAACAATAAACCGATAAATTTACAATTCCACATGCATCTAAAATGTGTCTCAACAAACAATTGATTAATAATAGAGTATACTGTATCAAAGATAACGTATAGTGCAGGAGATTATTTTACAAAAACAATAATGTAACCAAGCATTTAAACATAGATAAAATCAAACCCTTATATTATAATATAAACGCTACAAACAGAAAGCTATTATATTTGTATTTGAATATCTTGACCCTAAATAGCAAATTGCGTAAAACGATGATTTCATAATATACTATATCTAGAAATGAATGCATTTATTCTACAATGATGTGTGTATATTTTTAATTATATAAATGCCACCATATTTTAGAACCGTAAAAATGCTTCAATATTATACTTAAAGTGGTTTTTTGGTAGTAAATTTGAACTAGTAGGTACTTAGAGGTATTTAAGAATTCACATACTTTTTTAAATAACGAAGAAAAAAAAACGGATATTTTTTAGAAAATCTAGTATTTGACAAAATTATATTTTCTTAGTGTAATTTGAAAATAAATGGCCATAAATACTTGAAATTTTTATTAACAGTTTTATATTCATTTTTTTTTTTTTGAGGTATGTATACACACTTTTAATTTTTTTTTTTTTTATCAAATAATACAGATAAAAATGTAAAACGCATTCATTACCATAAACCATATAATATTTTAATCAATTCATACGAATATTACGTTTATTAAAAGTACCTTATATGAATAAAAATAAATTCCCTTTTGCGATTTTAATCTTTAGCAAGTATTATACATTATATTAAGTCATAAATAAATTTATCTAAAAAAATGATACATCAAAAAATCGAAAGTAAAACATTGACGACTTTAGCTGGAAAAGCACCACAAAAATATTTCACAAAAAGTCCGACAAATTCGTTGAAATTGCCATCATTCATCAGGTTTCGTGGAGCATAATCTGGGACGGTTGGTTATTAAAGTTTTCGGACGCTTCGGGAACAATGTCTTTAGCCCATGTGCAGACACGTATAAACCACCCTGCAGGTTTAAAAGTTTCTTTCGAATATTAAAATTAATTTAAGTTTCTTTTATGCCGGCCTCATAAGCCGCTTATTATAACTTTTTTTTTCTTAATAGCTTAGTTTACATTGTCAAGCAAAGATAATTTTTCCGACGCGCTTGGTTCGCTGGTACTATTAGCGTTGTCTTTTTCAAGATTGCAGCGGAATGTCACTACTACAACTACAGCAGGTACTAATATTAACTTTGTTGTACCTGATTTTTAATATTTTCCTAGTAAATCGCTGTTGAAGTGTGATCATATGAAACACATAATAATATAATTAACACCTATACGTAGTTATCGAATTTCTTAGTGAAAGCTATAATTATAATAACGAATATTACTGTAATTATGAAAATAATTAGTTATCCGATTATTTTACACAAGAACTACTTAAATTGAACTTACAATGGATTTATACAGTTAAAAATTATATTTAAAAATATAACTATAGGTATAGTTAAATGTTATATAATATTAAAAAAACACGAGATAAATACTACAGTATAAGGCCAAAAAAAAGAAAAACCTTAATTAAATTACAGACTATTTAAATAATTTTTTATAATTATTTGTAGGTTTTTCTTTTCAGAAAAAAAAATTTCATGGCATTATATAAATAAACATAAAATATAAAGAAACTGAACTAATTATGCTGGAAATGCGACCTTGTTTGAGAATCGAAAATAAAATAAACCACTTAATTTACACGTTAGCGGAAAAAAACATTTCCGTGACTAAAATATAGATAAAAGCAGGTAAACTTTTTTGACGAAATAAAAAACATAAAATGTTAACCACAATAAAACTGATAATTAAAAAAAAATTAAATAAATAAAAACGCAAACGGAATACACTTTATTACTTTACGATCAGTATGCATCATAAGTGTCTAGGACGAAAATAAGAGAACATTTTAGTCAAGTTTAAATAACCAAAATAAATTAAAGGGTATACTGTGCATATATACTTCTGAGGGTTGACTTGTGGTATTATGAAGGGAGGCAGGATCTTTTCAATCTAAACGGACTTGAAAATTTAACTTTACAAACACGAGCGATTTCCAAAAGCGACTCAAAGCAAACAAAAACGTACGGGAACGACGGCGACAACGACGAGTTTTATCAAATGATGTAATAAAGACGAATTAATATCGTACTGAGAGATAGAGTAAACAGAGAAACACTATACGAATATTTATATATATATATATAGTTATCCACACTAGCCTGCAGGATTCTTCTTCGTTGTGCCGCTTAAGAAGGGGGAACAAGGAGGCTACCCGTCTGTCTCTCGTTCCCAATTATCTCGGTTGTATTACCATCATCATCATCATCATCATCATCATCATCATAATGCTTTTAAACTCCTCTTTACAGTGACCTGCTGTAGTAATGCCTGTCGAAACTTTGCGTCTTATACCCTGCACCATTCCCCACCATGTCTCCTGTTCGCCACTCAAACCGTATCTCTCATTGCACTAACACAAGTACAGCACTTCTTCCCGTGTAATTAATAATTCAACCGTGAACTCCTTTCAAATTATCCAAAACGTTTAGCGCGCGGGCAAAGTTACTACTATATATACTATATACTACTACTACTACTACTATTATACTACTGTATACACACACATAAATATTCATTAATGTATGCATAGTATGAGAGGGCACCGGGGAGGATTTTTTTAAACTCTATTTCACTACCATTTACTCTCCCCTCCCAAAAGCTCGGGGTAGAGGCATATAATTATTATTGTCCACTTTTTTCGTGTTATTTTTTCTCTTTAATTGTTCCTCGCCACCAAAATTATACATAATACGTATATGTGTGTGTATAATAATAATACAGGATGGATCTCGCCCACCCTCGACGCGCCACCAACCACAAAATTGAATTAAAGGTGCTCGCGCTCGATGATAACCGCAACGGCGGTGGACACGACTCTACACCATCGTATGCATTTATGTATATTATTATAAACCGCATATCACGTATAGTATGTGCTATATACAATATAATGAATAATACGCGGCGGGATGTATAATAAGATCGGTTATATATACATAGATCGTTGTTGGCGGAAGGAAGGGTCGAATATATATATTATTATACACAGCAAAATTTATAAACCCTTCACGCCTTGTAATAATAATGCAAGCGGCCCTCGAATACTGCCGCAGTCGCGTGGAGGAGATGATAAACATTATTTTGGATTTCATATGCAATTTTTTTCGCGCCTGTTAAAAATGAAAAATCGTAGTTGGCCGCAGAAACCCATGGTATAACGAGCAAAATGGGACACTCGGGTAGGTATATATCGAGCTTTTCTTTTTGTATATATAACTACCCTCGCAACCGAAAGCGTTCAACCATCAAATTCGGTTTGAACGCAAGCACGTCACGTCCACCCTCTATCTCGGTCATGTCCCTGCCCGCCGCGTATATACAATATATATACTAGGTACCGCATTCAAACATTATTATAGTCTCGGCGTAGAAAATTTAATAAAGAAGAATAATATATTTTAAACACTGACTGGAAAACGATGTTATTAAAAATTTTCACTTTATACCTATAATATATATGTGTTACCAAGGTATAATACATTAAATATAATATATATAGTATATACACTATATTTACAACACCTTACCACAACTCGGACATTTTTCTTTCGTTCTTCTCTACACCCTAGTCCCACAGCCCCTTTTCCTTGTTAATCATAAATTCTCCATCTTACTCTATATGATTTTTTTCGCATGTAAATACAATTTGGCGCAAGCAATTGACAGACACGTTTCGATAGTACCGCCGCTGACGTCTCTATTATACGTTACCAATAATGTGGTGGGTGTGTGTATTTGAACGAGTTCAAGACCACTGACGACGAAAGGTTAGGGAAATATCCACACACACTAACACACACACACACACACACACACACATACACATGCCTTATTTTCCAGTATGTCACACAAGTGTTCGATTGTTATTACTATTATTATTATTATTATTATTATTATTATTTTCTGCGTCCTGTGTTTTCGATACGAGTTGTCATGACAATCGGTTGTTCGTCTCGGTTTCCACAACCCGGTAGTGAGCGTAGGAGGGTTGATGTCAACAAGTCGATAGACTCGTGACACATCGAATATATAACGCGTACCGACCGTTATCGAAAAATATACCATAAATACCAATAGTTCATAGAAATATTTTATCGGTACAAAAATAATTAATTTTAGTAGATGGAACATTAGAAATACGCTGTTATACGGGTGCGTAAAAACGTGTACTCGTAAAATTAACACTTGTAAGATATTATTTTTAAAACCTTATGGTATGATGTAAAGTATGAATCTATAACTACAATTCTCTGAATCAACCCCATATGCAACAATATCTAAACAAATAAGTATAAGAAATGGGGTTTTGTGAAAATTGCATTTCATAAACGCAATTCCTGGCAGGAGATTTTCTTAGTCAATATTATCTTAAACGTAGAATAAGGACAATGAATCTTCGAAGAACTTTTTCTGTTTGCGAAACGATTTTTTTAAAATATATATATATATATTTACATAAAAAGTTATTGGCGTATTTGTCAATCATCCATAGTGAGTTTTCCATCGAGGTTTGAGTTCGCACACATGTCAAATGTTGATAAAAAAAAAAATAATCAGAAATAAAAATAATCGTAAAAAAAATGCAGAGAAAAGTTTATACAAATAGAATAACAGACTGCGAATTGTCACACGGGAACGTTATTTCGATCGGAATCCGAGCATATATACAAACACATTCCGTTCTATACATATTTTAAGGATCCGATTAAAATAAGACAACAAAAAATATAGCAAAACAGTGATGAGCTGGGGTGAAGAATATTAAAAACAAACAAATCTCATATACGTATATATAACTGCTCTTAAATTTCTAATTTCTCGAATGAAAACCTTAACGTTTTTATGTATGTTCAATTCGTATAAATAAACATGCATCCACCACACTTCAAATTTCCATCGTACATCCAATAATTTAATTTAAATTAAATCATTTGGATAAATATATTTAATCATAACAAGATTAAATTTTTAAAATAGAATTTTTTGTGCGATATTTACATTCTCGAAAACAATCAGAATAATTGTCTAAATTGTAAAAATTAGAATGACTCAATGGTGTTCAAATGTTTGTTTAAACAATTTTACTATATTCATTTTTAATTCTTGAGTTTTGACAAAACGAAAATTATAATATTTTTATAAGCTCGGGGTTACTGAATAAATTCAAGTAAAGAAATATGAATGTATTTGGTACAATATAAAATGTTTTACCTTCTTTGCGTCATTATTGTTATCCACGTGATTGGTTCCAATTGTGTCTCCGTTGCTTACCGGTCCTCCTTCAACTCCAGGTGATGTGACCATTTCGTCAGACCCGCGCTGTGAACAGAATGTAAAACGACGATATGAAAAATACGAAGGATAAAAACTGCATCATAGACCAGGCACTGTGAAGGGAGATACAAATATAAAATGTTCGTTAAGTATCACGCAGACGACGTTTTTTCAGTCGACCACTTCAACCGTACGCACACCAAGTAATATATATATATATATATAAGCACATTATGTTCTAATGAAGCGCAATAGTCGTCATTAAAAGAAATAGCAAAAAAAAAAAAAATAGTCGTGTATAGAGTAGACAAGTGGTTATGTATGTAAAATACAAAAAATAGGTGCACACACAACAACACCATACACGATACAGCATCTATACAAGAGTGAACATTGCTTGTTTACGCGGTATAGTATATATATTTTTTTATTTTCTGTACACTAACGTTTTACTGTGTATATATATTATATATATATATAACCTTTATGTCGTCCTTCACCTATCACCAGGATATGGAAAAAAAAATAAAACACATTTGTGCTGGGCGATTATCAAAAGAGCTTTTGTAACGCAAATACGTGGCACGGACAGCTCGTTTCGTTCTCCATCATCACAGTATTTCGTTTGAGCAGTTTAAAAACCAAACTATTACGCACACTTGAAACGCGCACCTGTATATACCTAATACAACACAACAGCTGTTAAATATTATGTATCGTGGCAAAATAATATTATGTAGATATGATAATTGTGTACCATTGGAGTGATGCGGTTATACATCATGATACACGAATATCGCCGGTAATCGGTTCCCTGCGACAAACGATCAGACCGCGGTAATTGAATAAAACACATTTTTATTCTTTTATTTTATGCGTTGATCGCATTTTACCGTCCCCGAAACGAGGGCGATGGAAAATTTTATTCTTATCTGCATTTTTATGCTATATACGGGTTTTTTTTTATATCTGTTCATAATTTCGTTAGTCGGTGAAAAAAAACGAATCAATTTCCACAACAGTACCTCCTATAGGTATCACGCAACTGTGTGCGTGTGTAGGTTTTATTCGTACCCTCATGAAATAAATATTATCAGTCGGGTCTTGAAATTTTTACACCTACGCACTCGGGAACACTAAAACTCATAATTGGGTAAAACACCATTTCCCTGCCATCATCGCTCTCAATCCGGTCACAGCGTTTTTAATACCTATATTACACATATGCAGCAGCGCTCAAAAGCGACTTTAAAACATATATTTATACGAACATCCGGGCGGAGAGTGTAAAAATTAAAAAAAAGTGTAATCCATCAAAAAATAAAAAAAATTAATAAATAAATAAAAAGAGGGATTGGGTGTTGTGTGTATACGCGCGATATTTTTGTTAAATCCGACGACAGCCGAATTACGGCATAAATAATCGTAATATATAATAGTTTTTTAACCGTCCAAACAAGTCAATTAAAATCTCGTCTAGAATACGTTAAAAATAATACATACACAAGAGAATGACAAAAACAAATGCTAAGCCGAGCTTTTCACACTGACCACACTACTCCAGCGTTCTCTAAAAATTAAAAATAGTTTTATACGACCGGATATTGTACAGGAGACTCTTTCGTTTTATTGTAATCATTATTATTATTATGCAAATGTCGTTTACCGGAGCAGACTACGCTATACACAGAGTTCTTGAACGAGTAATTAGTTTTAAATAGGGCTTTGTGTGAGCGTGCGAGATGCAGAGAGGAAATAAAATAACATTATATACTTTATATAGCAAAATCCAGCCACCGGATGCTGGCCTTTTTTTTAATTTTTTTTTTTTTTTTGGTTCTCTACAGAACTTGAAAAACGTTTAAAGTTTTTTCCCCATCGTCACACGCCGTTTATATATTTACGACTAGCGAGAGGTGGAAGTGAAGAGGTTAATTGAAAACACGAATTGTGAATCTGACAAGAACAGTATGAAAAATTGTGAAATATATAAAATAATAATAATATTAAAATGTAAGAATATAAAATTATACACTCAACATCATAATTCAGTATCGGAACAAGTATAATATATTATAATATTGTATAATGTAATCAAATCTTATAAATATTATAGTTCAATTAACACAAAATAGGGAAAATCTTTTGCGATAGTATTTTATTATATTGTTTAAGTAGGTACCTACTGAAAATTGATTTTATATGTGGTTCAATTCATAATTATTATTAAATACTTCGTATATACAGTCCGATAATACAAATACTAACTCGTGTTTACGATTTACGTTCTAAACAAATGTAGTAAAACAAATTGAAAAAAAAGATTTGTGTGAACGTTCTAGGATAATTTCGGATTTTCCTATATATACAATAATAGATGACGCCGCCGCAGTGGTCGTGACACGCTCGCACACCGATTTCGGATTCAGCGAAGCACAAAGATTGGTATCGGAAAGATGTTCGGCGATCCGTGATAATGAACCGATGACGGATAGACCTTGATTCGAACAAGTGTCCGTAAATAATTCGTCGCCTTCTCGGCTTTAACAATAACAAAACGTACATACATAAAATATATGTATGATTTATAATATACATGAAGAGTCTGACCTTAGGCAATTTTGTTTTCTATACGAAGCCACAGTCGTATAATATAATTTTACACACATTTTTACACAGAGCACGGTAAATAATATACAAAACTTAATGGCGAGCATATATCCTACGAACCAATTTTCGTCATCATATTAAATTCTCTTCCACAAGCACGCCCGTTAAAGTCAAAAGCAATTGTTTTGAAGTTATAAACTTTTATTATATCCCATTATAATATAAGATACGATGATATGCATAATCGTTTAATACACTAACTACCCAGTATACATACGTTGTAATTAGGTGAAATTATTGTAATAACGACTTCATTGTTTTAATGATCCCGTTTTTCAAAGTACAAAAATTATTAACTTATATCTCTACATATTTTCATTACAGATTTTAAGAACGTGAGTTCACGTAAAACTTTGCTCCCGGATAAACGAAGAAGAGTACAGAAAAGCGACATCGACCAACACGTTGAAAATCAAACCCATCAAGCGAAAAAGTATATTCACACGTATACTGCACCACCTTTACCAAAACATATTATATCTAAAGTCTTAACTTCTGGCTATATATCAGAGCAATGACCAGAAATATCTTGTCCACACGACCAAAAGCCCTTAAATAATTAATAAGATAAAAACATAAAACCATTATTATTATTATTATTATTATTATTGTCAGAGATAATAATATATTATAATTTATGTTGTACGAATGAGATTGTCGTCGGTTGCCAGTACATACGCGTATTAATGTAATACGGATATATTATTAGGTAAATCAATATATGATGATATGTACGTACACTAGCTATGTATTTAAGTATAGTGAAAGAATTGCATATAACGGAGGAAATTACACAAACCGAAATTACGTAACGGCGGGGATAATCTCTTTCAGAGTGAACGGCCACCGCCATCCCAGACGAAATGTATAATAATATAATATGGAAAGTATTAGATCAAAGACGGCGATGTCATTGAATTGCCTACACGGAGCGCCGTCCGAAGACTTTGCACAGCGGGCAAACGGAACGGTAAAATATTAAAGCATGTACGACATTATTCACATATATATACATACATCCGAGAAGCAGAATTCATGTTCTTTGTTCGAAAAAAATTGTTCGATCCGTCTTTACGATTATTCTAGCCAAAGACCGGACGAGGCAGAGACGGTTAAGCCGATTCCCGGCAGAGCCAGTCTTGGAAGATAAAAACCCTCGTTATTTATTTCCGTTTTTTTTTTTTTTTTTGAGATGAACGTGTATGCAGTATGACGCGCACAAAACCATAATATGTCAAAGCCATATGGAAACCTAATTCCCTTTTCCCCTATATACGAGTATAATAATAATATTTATATCAATATACACACCGGACTTAGGGCAAAATAAATGTAAATAAATAAATAAATAAAAGTAAAGCATCTATCGGTTTTCTCGTGTGTTCATCGTCAAAGAGTATAATATATATAAAACTTATTTTATAGCAAATCGGTATATAGTGATAAATCGGCCGGCAAGACACGGGTGGCATACTCGTTCTATTCCCCGACGACGCACATACCCGAAATTGATTTTCGTCGTTTCGCAAAACGAGGCGTGGAGAAAAAATAAATGTCGAAGGAACGACACCGAGGTATAAAAAAAAAAAAAAAAACAAAAAACGTATCTCTACGCCGAAAAGTAAATAAGGGGACGGTGGTCTGATACATGTCCCCGTGGGGAGGGTTCTGGTCGTCCGAATCCTGTTGGATTTCAACAAAAAATCTATAAAAATACATTACATGCCGGTCGGAGCAACAACAAAACTACTGAAAAATAATCTTCGTATCACAGTGCAATCCATCTACCAATTTGTTAACGCTCGAATCGAAAATAGAATCTTGAAAAATGTATCAACTACTGTACATAATGCATACACACAAATACATATATATAAATACACCTACACTGTGTCAACTGAAAATCGTGACTTTCCAAAAATAAAACAATACAATCGGCATGTTCGATATTGACTTGAGTTTTGTCGTCAGACTTAACATGTGTAGAAGCACGCCATGTTTTCAGAGTTCATCATCTTACGGCAGTAAATTTAATACGACATACTTATTATAAGTAATGTACAGCGATTTAGTTAACGAAAACAAATATGAACAACATCATATACTTTGTACAACTGCAGGCAAAACAATGACAACGGCACGGTGTATTAAATTAAATCGTAATACTATAATATAAAGCTACACTTCTTATTATGTGAGTATTCGAGCATACGATAAATAATAATACTCTGGAAGAATAGCTATCCACGGGTATTGACCCGAAATGTTTTGAAAAAATATCAAATTTACTGCGAGATCAATTTATTATTCGCGTACTATACTTCCTACAAATTTCCATTTAATCTAGTATATCGTATATTTCTAGGGAGTTTGTA